CCAAAAGCAATTTTTATATTCAAATTAACAAAAATAATTTAATAATACATAATTCTATTAATCATTATTAAAATTAAATAGAATTACTACAATGTTTTAAGCATATTAAATCAATTAAATATCTCATTTAACTTGCTCGTTAAAATCCATGCAATTTCGTAAGCCAACAATCCAAGCACGACAAATAGCCCGACCGATAGATCGAATTGATCGATTAGTCCTATTATTCCAGTTATGTGGTTTGGAGCAAGGGGAGACATTACTGAAAATAATTAAAAGTTGAAAAAATTGAGGTTCTTTGCACATCTCTGCTTCAACCCATAAGAAGGTGTTGTATGCTGGTAAATAGGCCTTCCCTTGCTTTGTACCCGTTAAGAAATGTTATAGTTCAATTTCTAAAACTAAATAGATCTACCCGCCGGTTATGAAGTAAAAATTTAAAAAAATAAGCGGTTTTTTAAAGAATTTTAATTTTTAAATGTTAATGACTTTAAAATTGAAAAACATGAATGAAAAGCGTTTAACGAAGAAAAGAATAATTCATACAACATAATGTTATAGTTCAATTTCTAAAACTAAATAGATCTATCCGCCGATTATGAAGTAAAAATCATGGAATTATATAACTGGAAGCGCCCTACCAGCGTTTTAACATTGAAAATTTTTTTCAACGGCAAGTTACCTCTGGAAGCAAGTTTCTAAAAATTAATAATTTGTTTTAAAAGTGAAACTATCTTTTTAACAGATACGTTTAAAATTTTGTTACACATTTTGTAATGTATCATATTTTTATAACTATATAGAGGTTTTGTGGTTTTTCTAGTAAAAATTGGTTTAAAATTTTTATTTTTAACTTTTATTTGAAGCTTTTATTATTTAGTTTAACTTTTAGTTGTACCGTGGGAGGAACTTATGAGTCTCTTTAAACTGTTGACTATAAATAAATATTGCTGGAAAAACCACTTTGCCGTCTCCGAGATTACCTAAATTTATTCCTATGCGAACGATATATAAAAATATGATAAAGTAGTTTTTGTTTTTAATTAAATCTCTTGATAAAAAATTTTGCATTAATTGTATGTAATATTGTTTAGTTATTTTTTTATTTTGGTAGTTAGGGCAAAGGTTTGATTTTATTATTTTTTATTTAATTTAAAATTTATTTTATTCATACATACACTCTTGGTCTTGCTAAACTAAATAAATCTGCATTTGCTTTGTTTGACCCTTTCTCCTGGAACTCTCTACCTCTACTTCTCCGTCACTTAACGAAGTTCAGAGCGGATCTTAAGACCCATCTGTTTGCAAAATTTTTTGAGGAGCGCTGTTGAATAGCTCTTTAGTCTTTATAAAATAAACTAATTGATTGATACTTTATTTATGGCTTATGCTTAGTTTAGTTTAGACTTTCTTTAGAGAGAGATAGTCTAAAAAATAAAATTTTAGACTACTTAATTTAAAATTATAATAAAATTAGTATTCGATTCTTATTATTAAAAGTAATAAAATAAATATGTTTCACTTTTTTTTAATTTCAATTGTAGTATTTGACTAAATAAATAAAAAAAAAAAATGGTGGATCGGGTAGAGAAACTAGATGAATTCCTAGAACGAGGAAAATGGTACGACTTGAAGTTAGGGGATACGTGGAAAAATCAAAAAAAGATGTTCACGCTTAGATGTTAGTTTTGTGAAGTTAATTATTATAACCATAAATAATGTTAATTAGTTAATTAATTTAAACTAGATTATTAATTAACAATTAATTCGTTAATATGTTAATTTAATCTTTTTAAGCTCTTTTAATCAGATTTTAGCTATAAAATCAAAATCTTAGCTTTCATGAACTTTTATACTTTATAGACATATAATACAGTCATTCTTATTCGCTTTTTCAAAATAAAGTTTTTAGCAATTGTTTTTTTTCTTTTATGAATAGATGATTTCAAACCTGCATCAATGGATCTTTCCAATGCAAAACTGGAGTTCGGGGCTAACAACTCTGTTGCTATCACCACACCCAGTCCACAGGTTGAAACATTTCCATTTTTGTCTTCTTTGTTTTATAACAAAATTTTTAGCTGTCTTCTTTTATCTATCACTGCACCTATATATATATTTTCAATTTGTCATTTTTAATGTGTATTAATTTTTTTTTCAATTTTTTGTCGACTTTTCTTAATCTGTTAGTCTGTGTTCTTAAACTGAATGACAAATGACTGAATTTCAATAATTTATTTATAATTTTATAAATTACTTATTGTAGTTTACAGGCATACAGTCAGGCTTATTCATTATTATGTTAATAAATTTAATTATCTACTTCTGTTTGTTACTAGAAACCGGACACATCGACAACATTGTTTCAAGGCAACCAGTCGAAGCCAAAGAAAGATTTTTTACTCGTGGTGAACCATCGAACTGGTGAGATCACTTTGGAAAAGTTGGAATCTGCCATGCAAGTTAAGAAGACCAGGTCAGATTGGGTGTTGTGCTAAGTTTATATTTCAAAATATTTTACTATCTATTTGTTTAATAGGTAATAAAATTTGAATAAAGAATACATTTTATTATAATTAGTATTTTAAAATCTTACAGAAGCCAAAAGCCAAACCCAGCTCCTGGAACTGCATCTAACATCAACTCCAACAACAACAATAGCAGTAGCCACCACAACAGTCTGAAACGAAAACAGCCAACAACATCTTCCACCAACATCACCACCAACAACAAACATTTTAGAGACAACTTCGTATTGAAAACAGATCATAGTAGTGGAACTACTTTGAGTGAAGATGATGACGACGACGACGATGATGACGACGATGACGATGATGTTGGTGGTAAAAATCTAAAAGTCAACCCAAGCAAGATGAATTCCGGTTCTTCCAAGTCATCTCCATCTGTTCCTCCTAACCCAAGTTTGTAAAATTATGGAGATGTTTATATAGTTTATAATTTTGCATTTTTCACCTTTCTACTAATTTGTTGTTGTCGTCGTCATTGTTGTTATTGTTGCTTCTGTTGTTGTTGATGTTTTTTATTATTTCTTCCATGTTTTTATTGATATGTATAATTTTTGTTGCTACCCTTCGTTTGATTATTAACTGACAGACTTTCTTTATTTCATATTATTTAATTAATTGTTAAATATTAATTACAACTCATGGCATCAATATGTAGATGAATCGTTGACGAATGTAAACATGTTAACGTGAAAATTATGTTTTTTTTGCCACCAGGTGCCAGAAAATCTGATGTTGTTGGTTAGTTGACTGGTTTTTTTATGTTTTGTTCGTTGATTTGTTGCTGTTAAGTTTTGTTTCTGCCATGTCATTTGTTGCTATTTATAGTTTGATGTCGATATTTTTATCTATAAAGTTGATTTGCTATATTTTTCATATTTACGATCATAATTTAAATCATTTTTTATCTTTACTCGCGTACATTTCGGTTGTCATCATATTTTTATTTTTCATCATAATTTTTCAATTTTTTTATCGTTTCTTTCAGCTACTGACCTGCAGATGAGTGAAGAGAGCAATGAATCCAGTGATGATGACGACGACGACGACGATGAAGATGACGACAGCAATGACGATGACGATGATGCTGTGCCCAATGAGAATAAAACTAAGCTGGATAATAATAAACATAACAACGTCAGTAATAATAATAATACTAATCAAAACATGATCAACAACAGCAACAATTATTTTGGGATGAATTTGTCTGATAATGACGACGAAGATGACGACGACGATGATTAATTATTTCTACTATCTTTATCACTTTTTGCCTCGTATTAGTCATTATTGTACTCATTTTAATTATTATTTTTAAAGTCATATTTCACTGGCGTTCCCGCATAATTGGTCCAGATATATGTTTTTCATAATTTTTTGCGTCATCTTTATGACTAATCATTCTTTTTATTATCATCTTTCTTTTCTCTATTTCTTTATTATCATCTTCATCTCCATCATCATTTTCCTAACAAACGTTTCATCATTCCACTTATCGCTGTTGTGACTTAATTGCATCAATATTTATTTTCCACCGAGATATCCTGCTAACTTAAATTGCCTAACTTTTTTTTGTTATGGTTCTGTAGAAAATTTGATATGATTTTCGTTTTTCAAAGTGTTTTGAAGTGTCGATTAATATCATCTAATAATTTAGGAGTATCGGTCAGAACTTTTTAGAATAATTTAGTGAAAAAAAAACACACACATATATATATATATATGTATATATATATATATATATATATATATATGTATATATATAAATATATATATATATATATTATATATACATATATATATATATATATATATATATATATATATATATATGAATGATGATATGTATATGAATGGTCAAAGTGAAAAAATAAATTTCATAGTTTACCTGCATTCAACAATTCACCTACTAACTCAACTATAACTACTCACTTTTTTGAAAACCTTTAAGAAATTAAAACTGCTAAAAAAGATTCTTTTCATTCGCGTTCAGGTGTCTACTCCACGTCCTGTTAAATGCTAAAATGTAGCTTTAGACTCACCGTGCGATTGAACCAGGCAAGTACGCTGCAGTTGTGTTATGTCTTGTGTAGTGTGGCGCTGACGCTGTTGTGATCAGTGGCGTTGTGATCGCGACGACCACATACTGTTGTTTTTGGTCTGTTGTACGTGTCTGTTGTCGACCACATACTGTTGTATGTGTGTACTGTTGTACATTTCCTTGTGCACGACTGATGTTTCGTTCATTTGGCATGTGTGTGTATTTACGTATGTGTATGTAATTTATACTGGTACACACACGCACACATGCATACGTATATAAATATATATATATATATATATATATATATATACACATATATACATACATCTATATATACATACATTCGTACATACGCACACAGACAGATAGGCAAACATATTTTAGGTCTTTAGAAAGTTGTTTAAAAGAAATTCCTTAACGAACAGCGTCAACGTAACTTAATCGTTTAGCAAAGTTTTTGTTGGTGAGTTGTCAGTTTTTGAGGTTCTACGAATGTTGTTTTTCGTTTATTATTATCATTTTTATTATTTATAATAATATTATTATTTATGTTATTATTACTTTATATATTTATTTTTTATTATTATTACTTGTTAGTTCTACTATTGATGATTTATCTATATAGACAGGATAAGATCAAATCATGAAAAATAAGACTCAAAGAGTATATTCTGTTACTCTCTCGCTTTTTCCTTTTGCGGCAAATAAATTGAATGAATGAAGAATGAATGAATGAACAAATGAACGAACGAATAACCGAATGAGTGAACCATCAAGCCAGCGAACGAATAAACGAACGAAGAAATGAACAATATATGAATTAATTATTTTAATTATATTATTATTACACGTACAATTTATATTATAATTCATCTGTATTAGTCACATTATTATTAAAAATAATTTTAAAAATAAAATCCAAATATAATTATGATCATAATCTTGTCCAGGCTGATGTAAATTCTATTAGCAGTGTTAATGACCAAAACAGATCTTCAACTTAATGACTTAGTAGCACAAATTATACAAAGTGTATAACATAGTAATTATATACTATATAATATAATGAACTGTTAATATTGTAATATAATATTATGTGTAATTTTGTGTAAAATTGATAAAAATGTTATCAGTACCGAATTTAATTTGGTATCTGTGTGTACGTATCTGCATATATTTAAGTCAATATACTTTATTTCTTTATCAATATGGGTATGTTTAAATGAAAATATACGCGTTTTGTATTTTATATGTGTATTCGAATGTATGTGGGTGTGGTGTATGTGTATATACATACAATCAAAACACACGTACACGCAATTTCGTTTATTTTCTTCAAACAAAATAAACCTGAACAAATCGCGCATGTATTCGAATTTCAAGATATGACGATTTCAAAGTATAGAGTAATATACTGATCTGGTGATGGTTCTGGCGCTTTATATGTATAAATATAATTTTTTCAATGCCTGTATACGTGTGTATAGTGTTTTATATATATATATATATTTATATTTATTAATTTTTATATATAATAAGTTTGTGTGTGTGTGTGGCGTGTGTGGTGTGTGTGTATATGTACATATTACAATGTTTACATATAATAATATGGCTCGGGTCTGTTTTTGATAAAAGGAGAAAGGATAGATATAGAAAGAATTTATGAATGGTGGTATTTAGTTATTGATGATGATAACTGGATCTATTTTGCTGATAGTAAAAAATGTCTGTGTGTCTGCTACTTTTCGTGTCTGTGCCTATTTTTTGTGACATGAATCATCATATATTTGACATAATAATTACTAGTAGGAATCACATTATAATTATAAAGTTAACCCATTCTTTAAATATGTTTCTCTTCATATGGATGTTTACACAGTATATGCTTGTTTCTATGTGTGTAACTGTCATTCTGTCACTCTTGCTTGATGGAAATAATATTTTAAAGTTTCATTTGAAACTTATTGGGAGGTGGAAACTTAACAACCTCCTACCAGCGATGAAAATCATCTCTGGACATCAACTTTTCGAAATGAAATTTCACTACCTACATCAAGAATATCAATATAGAAAAAATGTCAACCACAAACCAAAATCATCATCGAACATTCAAAAAGCTTCATAACCATGTCTGTAAAGGCTGACGACAGCTAAATTGATGATTTAGAGACTGCCGGTGCTACTCCCCACTACTACTAACTGGTTTTTTTGTTAGACAGTACTTACTCTTCGTAATAGCAGTTAAATGAAATTAGGAAGAAGGCAGATTTTTAGAGTATGCATTCACTCGACGTTGTAGAGTTCGTAAATTAAAATTTCGTGTATGAGCCTAATTTGAAGTCCTGTTCGGAAATTAGACTTGTAATTAGTAGGTTATTTTTTAAATTATCTCAGTCATTCAACGCCGCCTTAGTTTTTCACAAAGATCAACGAAGTTTTTGTCATTGGTGACCTTTTTAGTGTTCGGACACATGCTCCATGAACAATATTGATCTTTTGACCATTTATTTTTGACATACAAACAAATAGATGACAAACAAATTGATGCTATGACAAATTTGCTTACAAACTTTCATGCCTATTTATACATACATCAATTTTAGACAAGTTTTTAGTTCGTTAATAAAGTAAATACATTAAAATTAAATTAAATTGACGAAAGTTGAAACCCACATCAAAACGTTATTGCTCATTGAACACACACATATAAACAGTGATGACACACATGCAAACACGCACAAACAAATATGCACACACACACACACACACACACACTCACGCACATACACACATCAGTATGACTATGAAACTTATATGTACTCGCACACACACACACACACACACACACACACACACACACACACACACACATATCCACATTACATCTTACACGCACGCTAACACGTACAAAAGCACTTATCATAGAGCCGTTTTTCAATTTGATCAAACAATTTAATTTCATCTGTTGTAAGGCGTGAAATTTAACAGTAATTTAATAATTACACGAGAGCTGTAGAAACATTAATTATCATAATTACAGTCATTATCACCACAGTATTAAAATAATTTATTGGGAAAATAAATAAAGATAATTTGAGTATTTATTATTATTTGTTGTTTAAAAATACTTTACAGCTTTGTATGCTATTGGTGCTTAAATTATACTTGAAATTTATTTATTTTTACAACTTTTACATAATTTTTCTCCATCTATTCAAACAAAATGGTGCAAATAAATATATATTTTATAATCAAAGTTGATTTTTGAACGAGTATCAAAGAGTTGAACCTAGATTGCGAGTTATAGTTGCAAATGCTAAAGTGCATTAAAATCATGTTCTTAATATGCACTACTTACTACTGCTGCTACTACTACTTCAACAACTGCTACTACTAATACAACTGCTACTGCTGCTGCTGCTACCACAAGTATCGAGTATCGCTACTACTAGAAATGAGCGTTCTTACAAAAAAACACGTAACTTCGCAATATCATCAGTTACTAAACTACTAGATGCAATGCAATGACACAAATGTAAGTATCGTGATTTCTTCACCAAACACACACCACACATTCACACACACAACCACGCACACAACACACACATACACAGACACTCGAAAACTTAGATGAGAATATTTTTAACACGATCGTTTAGATATTTATTCGAAAACTAATTTTTATTCTCAATATACATGTAAACATACACGCATATATGTATGTGAGTATATATGTAATATATATGACATGTAAATCGAAACGTTAAATATATATGTATGTATGTATATCTGCATATATAACTATTACTTCTATATAAGCCATTACGTAAAATAAATATTGTCTCTTGCATGAAGTTTTAATAAATTGTATGGCGTTCTGACAAGTTTGTATAATTTTGTCACTGCTTTGTTGTTAGGTTGTTCCCAGTTAAGAAAACGCTGTAGCACATGCAGCCGTAGACACTGAAACTGCGACAGATACCAAGAACTGGAATTTCAACTTGGAATTTTAGCCTAGCAACTGGATTTGTAATTTTTGTTCACTTTGAAAATTGAAAAAAAATGTTGCATTTATAAAAATTAACTAATTTTTTTATTAATTTTGCTATATTTATTATAAAAACTAAGACAAGATTTTACAATAAATTATTTGCGTTAAATTGGGTCAAATAAAAATCGCATATTTGTTGATTGCGTGTTTTTGCAACATCAAAAGTAGTAATAGAGACAAAGAAACATCATCAAACAAAACAGCAACAACAACAGCAGTAACAACAACAACAACAACAGTGTAAAACCTCTTCACAACGACAAAGTCAGTCTGTTCAGATCTGAATTGATCGAACGTTTCATCAAACAAAACCAGTAGGCCCTGCATGCATGCCATCACATACACGCATACGTACAATTCTGCAGAACGCGTTATAATGTAATAATATTTAGAAATTGTTGATTTGCTATTTATAGAAGATAATTTTAAGTTGTTGAGTTCTAGATTTAGGCCATTTAACGAAAGTAAACATACTTCAGAATACTCTCTGAAAATATTTGTAGCTTCAATTACGTACAACATCTTCAATCAAAGCTCTCAATCAACATCGTTATACAACGGTGAAATTAATAAAAACAACGTCTCGGATTAGACATTGTTGATATCATCATCATCGTCAACAGGAGCAAGATAATAAATCACCTCCATTCTCATATCTGCGACGAAACTAAAAAATCACTTTTGATCTGATTCAAACATAAAACAGCCAAACAAATACATTCATATATTCAATTAAAAATTACTTCAAATCCGTCTGAAAACGACTCGGAAACATGACAACACCAACGAAACAACAACCTTCAAATATCTCAAAAAAACTTTTAAACTCAAAAAGAGAATGTGTTACAGAAGCCATCTCAGGTTTGCTCTGCTGGAATCCAGGCTTGGCGACCTTAGATGGCTTTGACAATGTTGTCCTTAGACACGATTGGAACAGTCCTGCGAGGAGGTCAAAAGTTTCGCTGTTAACTGGTGGCGGTTCTGGTCACGAACCTTGCTTCTCTGGTTCGTATATCTAATGTTTATTTACTTCTGCGTTTGTGTACAGTTTGTTTAATATTTTTTTACAGTCAAGCACTCAATCACTCATTTATTTATTCATTCATTCATTTTATTATCCGCTCACTCACTCACTCACTCACTCACTCACTCACTCACTCACTCACTCAGGTTTTGTTGGCGAAGGAATGGTGACCTGTGCAGTTCAAGGTCACATCTTCGCCGCGCCGTCAGCTAAGTCAATACTGGCTGCCATCATGGCTCTCAACTGGAATAAGCAAGGTGATGATGTAGGTGATGATAATATGATGGTGATGATGATAGTGATGACTATTTTCCCGCCATAATAGGAGTGCTTGTACTGTTCAACAACTACACCGGTGATCGAGTCAATTTTGGATTGGCTATTGAGAAGGCGAGGGCTAAAGGTGTCAAGGTCACATCTTTGTGTTTGTATGGTTGTGTATGCTTCTATTCTCATGTATGTTCGTATGTGATTGCTTGTTTGTATGTGTGAGTTTTTACGTGTTCGTTTTTATGCATGTGTTTGTGTGCTTATGTTTCTGTGAGAGGTTTGTAGGTGTTTGTTAGTATCTATTTTTTGTCATGTATCTTTTAGTTTGTATATTGGCGAAGGGTTTGTATGCTAGGTATTTATGTATTTCAATATGTGCGTATGTTTATGTATTCTCTGTTTGTATGCGTGTTTTCGTACAGATTAACATGTGTGATAACATTTGTATACGCTGCTTGTTTGTTCACCAGAAGCATGCGGTTAAATATTTCTTATGTTTGGGTGCGTTGGACTGAAAAATATTTTTTCCCTTATCAAATATTTATTTCATCAATCTGAAGAAAACTATCTGATATCAGCATAAATCTTAGAATTAAAAATTATGTACATGACAGCTGATATCTTGATATCTATCTATCAATCAGTCAGTCAATCAATCAAACAAACGAATAATTATTTAATCAATCAATCAATCAATCAATCAATCAATCAATCAATCAATCAATCAACCAACCAACCAACCAACCAACCAACCAACCAATCAATCAATCAATCAATCAATCAATCAATCAATCAATCAATCAATCAATCAATCAATCAATCAATCAATCAATCAATCAATCAATCAATCAATCAATCAATCAATCAATCAATCAATCAATCAATCAATCAATCAATCAATTGTATTGTATTGTATTGTATTGCATGGTATTGTTTTGTTTTGTATTGTATTGCATTGTTTTGTATTGTATTGTATATCAATATATCAAACCAACTGATCAATAAATGACATTTCGAGCACATACAAAAATTTAATATTTTTTGGCTGACAGATTGAAATTGTAATAAACGCCGACGACTGTGCATTAAATGATGGATGGCGGGAAGTAAATAGGAGGGGATTGGCGGGAATCATTCTTCTATTGAAGGTTTGTAATAAGAGTGAGAGGTGGTGAAATGGTTAAAACACTTGGTCCTGTTGTTGCGCAGTGACCGGGTTTGAATGCACAGAGATCCTCGTCTATCGCATGCCAAGTGTTTAATGCGTGGACTCGCACGTTCATCTTAGTACAATGTTAAAAGTCAATCATGAAATGAATAAATTTTTCTTTAGATAATTGGATGAACGTTGTAAAAAATGAATTTTAACAACAATTCATCAAATTATTCTATTAAATTGAAGAAAAAAAATTTATTTCACTATAAACGAACCACGATCTATAACAATTGTAAAACGCGATGAGTGGAAATATTTGAAAATGCAAATTAAATTAGGAAACAAATTAGTGGATGAATGGCCTTAGCAGATAAAAAAATTCTTTTTAATGAACTTACAATTGAAATAAAAATGTATGTAAGCTTTAACAAACAATTATCTAAAGGTGCTTTTAATAATGGGAAATGAATGAATGAATAAATGTACGAATGAAGGAATAAATGAACGAAAGATAAATAAAAAAATAGACGAATGTACGTAAACAACTAGTTAATTAAATTTAAATTCAATAAATTTTTGATTAAATTAAATAAACAATTTTTTATAAGCCAACCCAACATTTTTATGATTATAGCAAACACCATTTTGTCCAATTTATTTTTAGATGGTTGGTTATGTCATTGAGTCAGGTGACCCTCTGGAAAAAGTGGCTGAATTCGCCAGGGAGTGTGTGTTAGACATAGGTTAATTTGGTTTTTAATTTAATTGGTTAATTAGAAGTTAGTTTAATTTTTGATTGGTTAATTAGAACTAATTAGATAAATGAAACTAATTGGGTTGTTTTCTTTGAAGGCTGTATAATTTTCTATGGATGGATTGATGGATAGATGGAATGATGAAGGAATATAAAGATAGATGGGTAGTTAGATGGATAGATTGATGAAGAGGTGGATGAATGAATAATTAGATGAATGCATGATTGAATAAACTTAGAACTAGCAACTATTTGTATGAAAAGTAAGTAAAAATCTCGACAAACAAGTTCATTGCTAATTACACATTCATTATCACACGCACACATATGCGCACACACACACATGTTTCAAAACACACCTATTTATATGTAAAAAAAGACAATGGCAAACCTTTCATTGGCTAATTCAAGCTATCATCATTTTTTTGGATCAAAAATTTGTTAAACAAATTATAAAAATAATAAAATAAATAAATAAATAATTAATAATTATAATATTCACCCCACACAACCACAGCCACCATGGGTGTGTCGTGGTCGTCCTGCAGTTTTCCGGGAGGTGGTCCTTTGTTTGAATTGGGGGCCGATGAAATGGAAATAGGGCTAGGTTGGATATTTTCTATTTGTTAGCAATTAAATGTTTATTATTATTTTTAATAGTAATTGTTATTAAAAATGTTTTGGATTCGTTGATTGGTAGATATATAGATAGATAGATAGATAGATAGATAGATAGATAGATAGATAGATAGATAGATAGATAGATAGATAGATAGATAGATAGATAGATAGATAGATAGATAGATAGATAGATAGATAGATAGATAGATAGATAGATAGATAGATAGATAGATAGATAGATAGATAGATAGATAGATAGATAGATAGATAGATAGATAGATAGATAGATAGATAGATAGATAGATAGATAGATAGATAGATAGATAGATAGATAGATAGATAGATAGATAGATAGATAGATAGATAGATAGATAGATAGATAGATAGATAGATAGATAGATAGATAGATAGATAGATAGATAGATAGATAGATAGATAGATAGATAGATAGATAGATAGATAGATAGATAGATAGATAGATAGATAGATAGATAGATAGATAGATGTAACAGGTTCTTTACGGCTTCTATCAAAAGACTTGAAATTTGATGTGTAGAGACAGAAAATAAGCTTTCTTGATATTCAAATAAATCGAAATAGAATACAAATTAACAAAATATTGTTCAATTATTAAGTTAATGTATGTATTGTCGTTGGGGTGACAAACGTGCTTCATTACTACGGTATAGACTGTCACGTTGTTGTGCGAGTGTTGTTGTTGGAATAACTGACGCCACGATGTTGCTGGATAAGAGTTGTTGTAGCTGAGGTGGTCGTTACCCTGACACTGCTGGGTTGGAGTTGTTGAAATAACTGAAACCACGACACTATTGTGTTGGAGCTGTTGTTGAAATAACTGGTTGCCGCAGCTGCTGTAGTTGTGGTGGTTGTTATCACGACACTGTTGTGTTGGCGTTGTTGTTGAAATAACTGACGCCACGACGTTGCTGGATAAGAGTTGTTGTCGCTGAGGTGGTTGTTACCCTGACGCTGCTGAGTTGGAGTTGTTGAAATAACTGAAACCACGACACTATTGAGTTGGAGCTGTTGTTGAAATAACTGGTTGTTGCAGCTGCTGTAGTTGTGGTGGTTGTTATCACGACGCTGTTGTGTTGGAGTTGTTGTTGACTCCGCTACTACTACCTGCCACCAATTACCACTTTATTCCTATTAACGACGTTCCAGTTAGACTTGTGACTGCCAACGTCCTACCGCCAAACCTACTACCAAACGTTTTTATTCCAAATTAAACCAATAATTACTAAAATGCAAAGTTCTACCGTCTACTATCAACCAAGAGTTAAACTACGCCGTTCTGACTCTATAATTCTCCTATTATCGCTTTATATATTTTTTGTTTTCCGCAATGCGACAACCCCGTTAAGATAAAATCATGAGGCGCCGCATGCTAAACCTCAACCTGTGACATACCTCTCACCACACTTTGAATATTCCTTGGGGTGAAGGAATATTCACTCCTGAATACATTACCTCTTCATCTCCAGCGATCTGTCAGCTAGACGTGTGAGGAAATCTGCCACGTTTTTGCTACCCGCTCGATATTTGATCTGTATCGAATTCTTGTAGTGCCAAACTCCACCTCATCAATTTAGAACTTTTTGGCACCACATCTGTCAAGTAGGTTAGGGGGTTATGGTCTGTATATATGTGAACCTTTGACATGCAAATCCAACCCCTAAATTTTTGTAAGGCCCATATTATAGCATAGGCCTCCTTCTCGATGGTAGCCCAGCGCTGTTGTGTCTCAGATAACTTCTTACTGGCGAAAGTAATGGGTCGTTCATTCCCTCGTTCATCGGGTTGTGCCAAGCAGCATGCCACCGTATGATTGCTAGCATCGGTGATTAAACAAAAGGGTTGTGTATAATCAATCGTATATAGACCTCCCACCTCCTGTAGCTGTTGTATTGCCATATCCAAGCTTCTTTGATGAGCCTCCAACCAATGTATCCTATTACGACCTTTCCCCTTGGTTAACTCGGTGATACTATATAGCGTCCCAGCAAGGTTGGGGATGAAATTTTGGAAGTAGTTGAAGAAACCCACGATTTTCCGCACTTCCTTCTTGGTCGTGGAAGTTCGTATCTTGTAATCTTTGTAGCTTCAACGGATCGACGTTAATTTCTCCAGATCCGACCAGATGTCCAAGAAAAGGAATTTTGGCCTGTGCCAGTCTACACTTTTGGAAATCAAAGGTCAGACCCGATTGTTCTATCACTTCGAAGAAACGTTTTAGGTGGGAAATGTGTTCCTCCCATGTTTGAGAAAAAACTGCGACATCATCAATATAAGCTTCGGTGAAGTCCTGTATGTCCCTGGTCAACTGTTGCATCGCCCGGGTGAACGTGATGCTGGCTGATTTTAAACCGAACGGCATACGGGTAAATTCATACAACCCGTAATCGCACACGAAGGCCGTGAGCCATTTGGAACGCTCTTCCATAGGGATTTGCCAATACCCACTTTTTGCATCAAAGCTACTGATATAGCGGGCTCGGCTTACCTTTTGGATAACCTCTTGGACATCGGGTGTCGGAAAACCATCCCCAGTGGAATGTTTATTTACGTACCGATAGTCCACTGCTAACCGGATGGAACCGTTTTTTTTGAGCACACATACTATCGGACTTGCCATCGCGCTGGTTGATTTGACAATTATACCTTGTTCCAACATCTCCTCCAGCTGTGTTTTTACCTCAACCTTGAGCAGTTCTGGTATCTTATATGCCCGCAATCGTTGTGGTCGAAACTCCCTGCCCACCCTAATACGGTGGTGTACCGCCGGATACAAACCCACCTGCGGCCGAAAAATGGGGGCGTGCCTCACGATTAACTCCCTTATCTGGTCCCTTTGTTCCTCAGACAAATGAGTTAATTCATCTACCCGTTTCTGAATCATATCCACGTCTCCCTTACTTCCAATTTCATATGAATGCAGATTACCAAACTCCTCTTCTTCATTTCTCAGAACAACGCAGTTACTGAGTGTAACCTCTTCCCGTCTCTGGTGATATTTTCTTATATGGTTGACATGTACGTGGTGCTTTTGTCCCTCCAACTCTACTACATAGGAATGTGGTGATTTGACTTTTACAATAGTACCTGGCCCCTGCCATTTATTGCACCATTTGTTCCTCCATGTTGCGGGGATTAGTATTATAACTGCATCTCCTAAGTGGAATTCACGTGTTGTACTGCGCAAATTATAATAATGGGTGTACCTTTGTTGTTCCTTAGTAGCATGTTCTTCAGCATATTCGTGCGCCACCTCTAGATTCCGCCTTAACTCTTTGAGGTACTCCTCAGGCCGTTTCCCGAGATTCACAGGCAAGCATTGTTCACCCACCCAAGATTCCTTCAGTATGGATAGTGGACCTCTGGGTAATGTACCGTACAACATGGTGAACGGGCTGACATGAGTGGTAGCCGATGGCTTCTCCCGGAGGGTCCACAACACAAACGGCAAAATGCGATGCCAACTTCGTGGATGTTCCTGTGCCAACTTGTATATCATGCTTTTTAGTGTTTGATTGCACCTTTCCACCACCCCTGAGGCTTCCGGATGACCTGGAGTATTAAAGCGAGGACTGCATCCCAAGTTACTAAGTAGTGCCTGAGTGAGTTTACTGGTAAAATTAGTACCCTGATCTGAACTAATCACCTTTGGTACAGAATAGGTCATGAAAATCTGTAACAGGACCTCACATGTAGACTTAGCATCCATATGCTGCATCGGATAGGCCATGGGCCATCTAGTAAATAAATCAATCACAACCAAAGCATAGTTATATTTTGGCTTTGGTCCTGTTTCCACCACCACCATAGGTCCGATACAATCCATGACCAAGTGCGAAAATGGTACCTCATCTTTTCTGGGAATTGGCGTTATGGGCGTCCTCTCGGATATCCTGACAGGTGCTCTCAATTGACATATTCGACATGACTGGCAGTACTTTAAGACCTGTTCGGACATATTTGGAAACCAGAAACTAAGTGCTATCCGTTGTCTGGTCGAATCCGCGGCCAAATGACCTGAAAAAGGTTTGTCGTGCCCCATCTCCATCACCGTCTGAATCCTATTTGCCGGCAAACACAATTGCTTCACCTGGTGACCCACTACCCTATCCCGGTGGTACAAGACCTCATCTTCAACCAAGAAATTCTTTTTTCTTGTCTTTGCCCATTCCCAACACCTCGTAAGCGTTTGACATTGGTGTTGTTCTTGGCAAAATTTCTTCTTCTCAGTCACACATCCTCCCCCCCACATCATCATCGACGTGTTCCTCTGCCTCGTCTAAGTCGAGTTTATGTTCGTCTGCCTTTTTCTTTTTTCCACGGTTGAACTGACCATCAGTTTCCTCCTCATCGACATCGTCCAAATGTTCAACAACCTTTTGCTTCTCGCTATTACCAATTCCATCCAAATTTCGTGGTGATTCTCTAACATCTTCCCTTGATTTTGTCAAAACCTTATTAGTTTCATCCACCCCGTCGATTGTCATTTCAGCCACTCTCACAACATAGTTTACATCCCGACCGACAACATTTGATCTGTCCACAAGCCCAATACCGGAACTACCAACTTCACCAAGTTCAAATTTATATTTATTAATTTTATTCACTGCGGAATCCTTCTTCTCCTGACTAATATCAGCTCTACCTATATCCTTGATCATAACCTTGCAACTCTTTTCACTACCTTCATCGTCTTTCTCCTCATCAACATCTCGATTAGGAACTCCATCTACAACTACACTGTCATCTATTTTACAATTATTAAATTCACAAACTTCATCATCTTTCTCATCATCAACGTCACGATTCTGAATTTTATTTGTAATTATGCTGCCATCTATTTTACAATTATTAACTTCACAAACTTCACCATCTTTCTCGTCATCAACGTCACGATTCTGAATTTTATTTGTAATTACACTGCCATCTAATTTACAATTATTAAATTCACAAACTTCATCATCTTTCTCGTCATCAACGTCACGATTCTGAATTTTATTTGTAATTACACTGCCATCTAATTTACAATTATTAAATTCACAAACTTCATCATCTTTCTCGTCATCAACGTCACGGTTCTGAATTTTATTTGTAATTATGCTGCCATCTATTTTACAATTATTAACTTCACAAACTTCATCATCTTTCTCGTCATCAACGTCACGATTCTGAATTTTATTTGTAATTACACTGCCATCTAATTTACAATTATTAAATTCACAAACTTCATCATCTTTCTCGTCATCAACGTCACGGTTCTGAATTTTATTTGTAATTACGCTGCCATCTATTTTACAATTATTAAATTCACAAACTTCATCATCTTTCTCGTCATCAACGTCACGGTTCTGAATTTTATTGTATCTCTCTTGACACTGCCCATGGGGGGCGTCAACATTGTAAAAGGTCCCTAAATTGACCAATGAACCACTGGCAGATAATACCCCTGCAGCAGGTACTACATAAGGCGTTACCAACTTTAACTGTTCTACCACTCCTGGATTAATAATTAGTGGTTCACTAGCATTTGGCACCACGGCACACCACACCCGGACGCCAGGGGTAGCAG